CTTCAATAATTTTTTTGTTGCGTTCTGGATTCAGAATTATAAAACTTTTTGCTCAAATAAATAATCAGAGTTATAGTCTTCCGGAAGAGCATTCAAAATAACATTTTCTGGTGTAATTGCATTTGCCTAATTAGATTTTATAATTTTATTTCTTTTTCATTTATCATTAGTGGAAATTTGGTTACGGTGAACTATGTGTATTTTTAGAATATTGTGTTATTTGATTTTATGTTTTTAAAAGATTGCAACGATCGTTTTACATTTTGAAGAATCGAAAAAAACAAAATCATTTACTAAATCAATTAATACTTTATTAAATATTATTATCATGATTCTAATGATGATGAATTGACAATACCACATGATTTTCGAAATTTTTTTGGGTGGCGATTTTACACCGGTCGTCTTTTACCGTCCGGTCCCGGTCTTTACGAAGACCGATCCATCCCTAATTCTAACTTTTCTGATCCTACTCACTGAGGACGAATAAGTTAGCCCATCTGTACCAGATGTTCTGGTCTCTAATCCTGTGGTGCAGATTGTACATGGCGTTTTCATCTTCAGTTGCATTGGGTACCGGGTAGTGATGGAGCATTGTATGCAGGAGCATGTAATAAATCAAAAACGTAACTACTACACATGTTCGGACAGAACAGACACCAAATTTAAAGTTACGTTTTTTGATACGCCTAATAAATATTTGATGCATCAAAAACGTAACTTTTGTATCACCGGACAATTAAATCAGAAGTGTCAAGTATTATAATGTTTAATCCAGGGCAATAATTATAGAAAAAAATCTAAAAGTGAAAGAGATAAGATGTTACTGTATAAATAATAAGTATTTATAATTAAGAACTAACAATAAGTGTTTAAAAATAAATAAAAATATAAATAATAATTTAAATAAAATGTATTTCAAGCATCAACCTAGATGTGATATAATTTTAGCTGTTTTCACAAGAAAGTTAACATTATTAAGATTTGCTAAAGCATTATCTTTGCTATGATTTATAGATAATTGTAATGATATACAGTTGCTTCTATAGATAAAGATCAAGATAAAAGTTTCAGTTAGCGTTTGTGTAGTTTTATATAGTTTATTGAATGATACCAAAAATTTTGCAAATACATAAAAAAAACGCAAAATAACTACGTTATTGTGTCAATAACGAATAAAGAGTATGAAAGTGTTTGAACAGTATATATTTACATTAATAGTTATAGAGGTTTGATAAGCCAGTGCAAAAAAAAAAGATGGTATCTGAGCAAAAAGCTTGTTGACCGGAATGATAAACACACTAAACTTTTTTTACTGTTTAAAATTATTTTCTTTGACATAATAAATTAAGTATTCCATGAATTATTTATTTTAATGACAAGTACGTTTTATCAATACTTTTCGCTATTAAAAATTGGTTTCCTACACATTTTCAAATACATTCTGACCCATTATATTGAGACGCCTAAATTTAAATTTAAATGATCTTTAAGTAGTCCAACAATGATGAATTCTATAATTTAATAAAATTATTCAAAATTCAATATTAACGCGTTTTGATGATTTATTCTCTACCTAAGTTGGCCAATGGACCAAAATGTGGCTTAGCAAATGCCAATGGGCCATGTTCATTGGCCCAGTGGACAATATCCATTGACAATTTGTTTAGAACCCATCATAGTCCATTGCCAACCCTGTTCTCGACCGTTGGTCGAGATCCATCACCTTAATATATTAAATTCATAGTGTTGGACAATTATCCTGATAATCCCCGATCACTATTCAAGATCACGGGAGGATTATTATTACTAATCACCTAGAAACAAATGTATCCAACGTGTTTTAAGCGTAAATGATTTTTATATAAATTTTTCGACCACTTTCTAATATACAGATAAAAAAAGCTTAATTACACCCTCTTGTAAGAAATGAGTGAAAAATTTTGTATATTGTTGTAGGTACCGAATGAGTTATACAAAAATCATTCAGTAATCAGTCATGATAGATGATAACTGATTCCTTCACAAAATAGTGCATAACATGCCTTCAGTAGTGTCATACAGTAAGCATAATATCCTAGTTATCATCTATAACATAACAGATAACCATCACTTATTGCTACATGTACGTTATAACAATCGTGCTTGCCGAGTATACAATAAAATAATATAGTATGGAAACGCAAGACGAATGTCATGATTCTAGGTACGATTTATAAAAGAAAAAAATTTCAAACAAGAGATATTTTTTCTATAAATTTTTAAACGAAAAAAAGACAATATTCTCACTTGCCCTAACTCTAATCATTTGAAATTTGCAAGTCTATATTAACAGTAAGCACTATTGAAAATTTAGTATAATTTTCGTACGTTCGTCCGTCCGAATCTGTATTGCCATACAGTATAATTTTACTGAATGTATTCACTCACTGGAATTGCGCCACAAATCTAAGATTCGATCGGCAAACTTTAAATTTGAAAAAGTGGAAATCGAATAAATTTTTATAAAAATAGCGCGAAATAAATAGAATATACCGGACAGTTTTAATCAGAAATATATAATAGTTTACCCGTGTAACATGGATATTTTAAATAATACCCGGGTAGCAATTTTTTCTATAGGTACAATCCTTAAGATAGAATTTAGTAAATTTTAGAAATTTATCTCAAAAATTAAATGTATATATAGTACAGTATAAAGTGAAAAAAAAAGAAAATTAGATTGAGTTCAACCTGCAAAATTTAATTAAAATTGTTTCACCCTAGTAGTCCTCCACTAATAGTAAAGAATCGAAGTTGTGTGAGTCGTAATTAAACCAACTTTAATTATCGACTCGTTATAAATAACCCCAAATTTATAAAAAAATGTAATATGATAACCAAATGCAATGCAGATCAATCTCATCCCGTTGACAGCTCATTGAAATATAACTTATATATCTTGATTACATATTAAGGAAAGATTAGTTCATACGTATAAATAAATATATATATATATGAGTAAAGCAGTTAGGTTTAATGTTTCATAGCCACATTGCCGGATTTTGATGACTGAATTATGTACGTACGTACGTACAAAAAAATAAAAATAATTTACATTTCTCGTATATTAAATTGAGTATATACACAAATTACCGTATAAACTATTTGTAATAGATGTATACATAGTAGGTCTGTTTGAGAATGAGTTATGTACAGTACATAGTATAAATCTATCGCATAAATTCAAAAGAATATTAAGATCTCTTGAGATTAATTTCAATAGCAGTATTAGCTGGCGTTCCCTTATTTAAAATATAAATATAAAGATGCCGCCCTGGTGGCATAATATTAGGATGTGGTGGTAAAGAGACGTCAACGGCGTATCCTGATGGGATTGGTATTTGGTTTTGAATTTGTAAGCTCACATATCTAGCAGACATGTGTTGAGAATGTGTAACGAAACCATGATGAATTAAAGCAGCAGTAATTTTTGCATTGGGATCATTCAGATCGATTAATATGGTGACTATCTCACCATACGTCGTTTGAATTGGTATTAGCGAGTTGAAGACTGTCGTACCCGCGATATTTCTGATGATAGGCCGAGGGGTGCCATTTAAAAGATATGGAGGAGTAAAAATTTCCACGCGATATCTGAAAAATTTATAGGTAAAATTGGATGAATTAGTCTATGAAATACGAATATGAAAAATTCGAGTATTAAAGTATTGGTTAACTTACTCTGTAGGATATTCACAGGTAACACAATACGCAGGATTTGGGTTACTACCAGCGATAAAAACTGTACCATCCGGGATTAAAGTTGCAGTTGAATGGTAAACACGAACATACTTTGCTTCGGCCATCCTGGTGAAACGAGAACCATTAGGGGCTTTTGGATCATAAAGTAATGGTATTTTTTGAGGTAACCTTGCAACATGTTGTCTATTGGTAATGTCACCTTTATCTATTAAAAAAAATAATAATAATTTGATAATTTTTCATGAGATATTACGGGCATGAAATTTAAATATTAATAGATTGTTAAAGATTTAACGTACCCCAACCAGCATAACCCATACCAGCACCATTTACGATAAGCACTTTTCCATCAGGCATATGAATGTAATCACCCATCAAACGTCCAGTACCGAAATCACCAAAAGGTTCTAAAGTCCAATTAGAATTAGGTAGGGCTAAATTAAGTCTTGCGCAATCATTTTCACTTTTAGAATCAGGTTTTTGTTCAGCAGATCCACCACAAGCGACAATTTCAGCAGTATAATTATCTTCGTAGTGTAATGGTAAAAGAAATATAGTACCGGTAACCGGATACGTGCGTGGGCCACCAGGAATATCTGGCAAGGTTTTAACAATTTTTTGTGCAACATAATCCCAAATTATGGCTTTCTTGTTTGCTGATATGTACAGCCAAGTTTGATTTGGTGGACCGGGAAGCACAAATACTGATGGATATAGATTGTATGGCAACCTATATTTAAAATTTTTTTTTTTTTAAAAAAAAAAATTGTATCGAACAGAACAAAAAAAAGTAACTTACGTGTCTACAAGAAATTGAAACTTTACACTACTAGAACTATTAGATTCTTTTGGAAAAAATTCATATGTAGGATTGTTGACCCAATAGTCATTAATACTTATGGCTTCTGTTGATCCACCAATATTGAAAACTCTACCATCAGGAAGCGTTACCATAGTGTTATACCATCTTGATGATTTCATATATGCTGGAAACTCTAACCAATCACAATTATCATTATCACATGAGGTGAATAAACGAACAGACTGGAAACCTTTCTGTGCGCCAAACTACATAAAACGAACAAAAAAGAAATCCTTAAAATTAAAATTTCAAGAAATTTTGCAATTTCAAAACTTACAGTATCTTCAGCGCCGCCAGATTCAATCAAAGTACCATTTTCGAAGAAAGACCCTGCCGAACAGAAAGTGTTCGTTTTTAAATTAAGAGTACGACTCTTGCCCGTAGTTAAATCATATTCTGACGAAAATGCATAACGTCCATCAGGATACACTGCATCGGGGTTTTTTTCAGCTATTTGTATTGTAAAATTTAAAGTTTAAAATATGGTTTAAAAATAGGTTAAAATACGTTAAATGTTTTATTCGAACACATACCTTTATCAATTATAAGAATTTTTGTAGGTCGAACT